CCATGAAACGAAACTCTCCGTTTCACTTCGGTTTACTAGATCTTACACATTCGGTAGGACTCCTTGGACGAGTGATCAGCTCGTCGCAAGGCCTCTACCTGTAGACAAACACAGAAAAATGCACACAAACATCCATGCCCTGAGTGGGATTCGAACCCACAATCCCGGCTTTCGAGCGAGCGAAGACAGTGCATGTCTTAGACCACTTGGCTACCGTGACCGGCACTGTAATAGTTACTGTTTTAAAACTTGTTAACAGGAAATGACTAGTGAAGACTGAGAAGGCTGTATGTGTGCTATAGGCACAGTGATATTTGGAGTGTGTAATTCAGTGAGACTGTTTTCTTTTAATTCGCATAGTGGGTGGTGGAGTCCAGCTGGGTCCACTCAGCATGGCGGCCACTGGTTGGCCGATTATACCTGCCCCGGGTGATTATGATGATGGAGAATTTGGTGGAATGAAGATTGGCATGGGAAACCAAATTACTTGGAGAAAACCTGCCCCAATGCCACTTCGTCCACCACAAATCCCACTTGACCAGACCTAGGATCGAACCTGGGCCACTGCGGTGGGAAGCCAGTGACTAACCACTTGAGCTATGGCGTGGCCTGACTGTTATAGTTACTTGTAGTTACAATTCGTAAGTGGTTAGTAAAACCAATGTCCAATCCAAAACCCCGTAGAGAGTCACTAAAAGTAGTGACAGCTGGTGTCAGAAGTGGCTGGATTGGAGTCACACCCAAACATATGACATGGAGATGGCAGTAAGAAGTTATATTGCCACACTACAGAAGTGGAGCACATGATGATAAGCCTCGTGATTGAAATCAGAACCAACAGAAAAATGGAAGTCAATCGAGAAATGTGGGCAAGAATGGAAACCAAGATGGACTTAAATCTAAAGAAATGAAAGAAGAAAGAAGAAAAAAGAACCAACCAAGCCAAGGCGGGCACCACTCTAAAGGAAATGAAAGAATAGATGGCAAGGCTGGAAGCCAAGATAGAAGCTGAAATAAAAACCAAAAATTAGAAGTTTGAAGTCATTCGGAGTACTCTTGTCTCCCACATGGATACCAACCAAGCCTGGACACTGACCACCCAAGCAGAAATGAAACCCAAGATGGACATACATCAAGAGGTGATGGAGGCCACAGTACACTCCATCGTGTTCGAGTTAGAGGAAGCCATCAAACATTGGGTGGGAGACATCCTGTTGTGTGTCGACCAAGAGACGCAGGGCCTGAGCAAGGAACTGACAGAGATGTTTGATGAAACAGGTGTCCACAAGGACGTCCATCAATACGCGAATAAAGAGCCTCCTGGAAACTATAACAGACACAAAAAGAAGCACCTTCACGAAGAGCTCAGCCTCATGATCGAGGGCGAGACACATATGAGGAAGCCCCTAATAGATAAAACGCTACGAGAGCTCGGCATCAAGTTAGTAGAAATTGGGGCACAGGCCGAGAGCAGAAGAGGAACATGGAACCGGCGCAGGTGCAGCGAAGCCACCGAAGTTTGGTAGGGCTACATCATGGGTCATGTTTCCAGTTCAAGACTAACAGAATACAACTGCCGGATGCGCCTGGAGGAATCCACATATTTGATAACCGCCTTGCAGGACCAGGCCACCGGATGTGCTACATGGAGTCCCAAAAGGCGCGACCTGTGACGAAACCTTTGGAGGACCGCTTTGGAGACCAGCACACAGCTTGCCACTGCATACTGCAGTCAGCCACAAGCAATGACGCAGGGTGTCAAAGAATCCTTGCAAGATTTTTCCACAGTCATTGAACAGTTTGCCAGTCCCACACTACCCAAGGACCACATAAGAGGGAGGCAGGCAAAGCTTTCGCAAACAGGGTAGAATACCCCACCATAGAAATCTGTTACCAAGAAACGTTTAGTGAATACAGAGAAGACTTTATGTGTGCTGCAGTGATATTTGGAGTGTGTAATTCAGTGAGACTGTTATAGTTGTAGTTACGATTCATAAGTGGTCAGTAAAACCAATATCTACTCCAACCCTGATAAAGAGACCCTAAAGGTCATGACAATAATTCCACCCTCATCCAGGTTCTAGCATAACCTGTCACAGAAACGGATTTTGTGGTTAATGAAATTCTCAGAAACATTGTCATTGTTCTTCAGTTTACGAAATTACAGAACTTTGCATGAATTGTTTAATAGGGAGAAGTTCAAGGAGGGACTGCTTCAACTTACAAATTTTAATTTTCAAGCCATAATTGTAATTAAGTGCCTTTGCAGTTTCCTCTGACTGAAATAGCCAAGTTATTGCCTGGAAGGTGTTACTGACTACCTTTTTGTTGTATTACTGTAATCAAAGTTACTGGGCTTTGCCAGTACAGCCCAAAAACATTAGAAACATCTCCAAATTTTCCATCTGTCCACAACCGTTATAAAGATGTTCGTTCAGGTAGCTTTTAGAGATTTTTAGTAAATGTTTATGTTCCATTCTTTAGCTCCTATTGAAAGAGTACAGTCTTTGTGGTTCTTCTGCAGGACACAGTATACCACTGGCATTGATCATCCATACTCATGTGAGGTAGAGGAGTCACCTTCCAAGAAAGGTAGTTTATACATCTGTGACATATGCGCAAAAGTCGTCCATTCTCTTTCGAATATCAGCAGCCATATGAAATCACATTTTAAGTGCTCACCTTTCACATGTAATTATTGTGGTACACTGATTTCCAGTTTTCTGAATTGGGTAAAACACAGGCGAAATTGTGTGTCAGCAAAGGAATGAAATAATGTTAGTCCTGAGTGACAGAAATTGGAATCCTGATTTGGAGTTGTCAGTTATGAATATGCAAATGCAAATAAATGTGGTATATTGTAATACAGTGTTAAGTGTAATATGAATGATGTTGAATAATACAACTATAAAAATATCCTCCAAAAAATATGATTGTGTATGTGTATATTAGACTGTTTTACATACATCAGTCAAATTTCCAATTCTAGTATGGGAAAAGAATGTCTCCAGCATTCTCATATCACACATCAAAGAGGAGGAACATACTTTGGATACATATGTGTATATTCCTATCTTATAACTATAAATCTGATGGGTACTGGTGTTCACGTCCCATTTTTAAGCCACTGTCCAGATATTATAAGAACATTTTAATTAAGTTAATTCACTTAGTGGGAGGTGGAGTCCAGCTGGGTCCACTTGGAACGGCGGCCACTGATTGGCCTATTGTACCCTCCCCGGGTGATTATCATGATGGAGAATTTGGTGGAATGAAGATTGGCAGGGGAAACCGAAGTACTTGGAGAAAACCCACCCCAGCGCCAGTTTGTCCACCACAAATCCCACTTGACCAGACCCGGGATCGAACCTGGGCTGCTGCAGTGAGAAGCCAGTGACTAACCATTTGAGCTATGGCACCCCCAATTTTATAAGAAACTAGAAGACGTGCCTTTTCTTTTGTTGGAATATTGTTGCTTTCCCTGTCAATAACACAATATACAGTAGTTAAAACTTTAGGAATAATGCCCAGATTAAGAAACTGAAACTGTCAGATGCAGAAAATTGAAATAAATATGTTGTAAATTTCTCCTTGATTAAAATCTATATGCATTTTGCTCTACATTTGTTCACTTATTAACCTTTTATGTACTGGTTTTTAAATTTCCTGTTACTGCATTCAACCTGATTTAAAACATGTTTTTTAATCTTCTAGGGTTCTGAGTGTTTGAAAGTGAATTTCATTACTTCAGTTTTTAAGCTAGAAAGACAAAATAAAAAATAAGTTATCAAGAATGAAATAATGTGACTGTATGAAGTTTTGAAATTACCAGCTGACCTTTATATTCACAATTACTGAATGTCCCTGTACAGTTACTTGTGTATTTTTGTACATTTTATCCTGTCTTGTCTCCTCTATTGATTTCACATGTGGCCCACTGTCCCTCCCTCCCACTGTTCTTATATAGCTGGCTGTTTTTGATTGATGACTGTCTGCTAGCCACCACCTCATGCTGGTTCCTCACTCGCGAATTTTTCTACCCTGAAGATGGAGGCGATACATTGCACCGAAACGTCAGTTCACACAATATCTACATGGCGCCACATCCCAGAAGACAATATTCTTCATATTCACCACTGTGAGAACCTCAAATCCTACATGTTATTATCTCTTGTTTACATAGCATTTTTATGGTAATTTTTACATATCCTGATGATTTGAAAGTGTTGGGAAAATAGCAAGGACTAGATGCTGATATGTGCAATTCAGTTGCCTTTTTTCAGTATTCTGCATGTAATTGGCTGTTATGGTGGTGAGGGGCCAGGTGTTTCCAACATTCTGGAATATGTGCAACCAAAGCTGAAGATCTTGCTGAAGAAGTTACAGTTTGGTCATTCTGGAACTACAGATCTTCGGAGGTTGGAGGAAGATTTTGATGGAATGACTGTACAAACATTAATCTTTTCAATGGAGAGCTACCTATGAATGGTAGTTCAGTATGGCTTTGTGATGTTATTTGTCACCACCCTCTTGCTGGTGCTGCTACCATCAGAGTCACTGTTTTCCCTTTCGACATTTGCTGTAGGGTGCAGCCTCCTCTCTTTCTTGAGCACACTCCTGCAGGAGACTCTCCTTTAACTCTCTGTGTATTGCTGCATATAGTCGCAGCATTCCAGTGAACAGGGCCTTCCCATCCATATGGTTACATATGACGCTCTTTTCGTTTTCCGCTTTGTCGACCAGGCATTTCCAAGTAACGCCGTTGCCATTTTGTGGCAGAGATGTCTGAATGAGCTGTCCTATTTTTACGAGCCCCGTCCGGACTAAGTTCATCTATTGTGCTGTGTCTGGATTGTTAGCTATTAGAGTATCGTGTTACTTGTCAAAAGAAGAAACACCGAACGTCATCGTGTCTGACACTGCGTGGGCCCCACCGGCACCATGACTAGAGCTAGCTGGCCAGAGCATGGTAGCACTTCACACTCACTCACTCCCCCAGTCTTTTACGAGTAAAGGTGACGATTCACTTTCACAATTAACGAACACTCAAGTAACCAGTCTTGCTAGCCAATCTAATCAGTAGGGCTCGGATTTCTATGACATGTCATATTTTTATCCTGGCATCTTTTCACATGTATAATTAAATATAGACGCATTTCTGACTCTTGTGAACATGAAAATATATTGGTCATATAAATGCATATTTGAACCATATTTTAGCTTTAGGTCATATTTTGGCCCGAATTGATATAAAATCATATTTTTGGTCATATTTTAGGCGAGTTTCACTTATTGCTCAGAAATATATTTGCAAGTATTGGCAACGATGTTATTTGGAACTTCATTTCTTAGAAATATTTGGCCTTGTGTAATGGGATTTGAAGGAATACTGTACAGTGTGAAGGGTAACGGTTCTTGACCTGGTGTAGAATCAACCAACCACTTTGAAAAGAGAAATTGCCACCTCTGCCTCTGTCTGTGTCTCTTTTTCTCCTCCACTGCAGTGATACCTGAAGTCCAGTTTGTTTCTTGCATATTGATGAAAAAATTTTCCATCTACAAAGCGGTAAATTTCTACCCTCTCCCCGAAACCCGTCCAATACAGTACTGTATTCATAACTTCAGTTGTTCAGTATAGTTTCAAGATGCCTAAAGTCAAGTGCTCTAATAGCGTGAAGTTGCATGGTTTTATTAAAGAGTTTGGTGACAAATATTTTAGTACTGACAGAGAAATTTTATTTTGCAAAATGTGTGAAGTGGAAATTATGGCAGACAAACGTTTTACGGTGCAACAACACTGCAATACAGCTAAACATAGAAGCTGTGTAAACAGAGAAATTACCACGGAAAGTAGACAGCGATTGTTGTTTGCTGCAGATTATTATTGCACACACTATCATGTGATTGAAAAATATCTTCATGAAGTTTGACAGAGATGATTCATCTTCAATTCGAACTGTACAAAATTTGTTTTCATCAACCATGTCAAGAAATATAGCGTACATAAAATCAAATTTCAGTGTGATATCAAAATCCATCATTAGACTTGAAGCTGTGGGCATGCAACTGTGCAATGCATTACAAATTGTTAAGAAAGTTGAAAGTGAACTACATCAAGCACAGGACGAAGTTCCTGTGAAAATTAGTGCAAAATTACAAAATGTGCTCCAACGAAATCCTGGATATTCAACACTGTGTACAATTTCTGACATTCTTTGTGGCAAAGAAGTTGAATTTGACAACAGTGAATTAGAACTTGACGCAAGTGATTTGACTTGTTTTAAGTATGCCCCTGTGACATCTTGCGACGTAGAAAGGAGTTTCTCCAAATACAAGGCCATTGTTAGTGACAATCGGAGGTCCTTCAAGTTCGAGAATTTGAAAATGCATGCTGTCATTCAGTGCAACTCTACTGAAAAGGAAGATTAAGGTACCGTACAAATTATTCACCTGCAACTATTGGCACACTTTACTTTACTTTTCACGCTAAAATAAAAATACTTTCATTCATGTTTTCCCTCTACAGGGTCAGCATTGTGTTGTGATGGATGCTTCACGATTAAAAGACATTTATTCAGAAAAAAAACTTTGTACACTTTTCAATAAAACACCATTCAGCTTTTCTCTTTATGGGGTCAGCAATGTGCTGTGATCGATGCTTCAGAGCTTAAAGATATTTATTCAGGACAAAATAACTTTGTAAACTTCTTAATAAATTGCCATTCTTAGGAATTTTTGTTAAATATTTACTTATTTTTTGTGGGCCATTCTGTCATATTTTAGGGCATAAATATATGCATATTTTCAAAGTTTTTAGGTCGTAGAAATCCGAGCACTACTAATCAGTAACCTGACCAATCCACCAGTCACTCTCCTTTGGCACGTCCAGTCATAGTCGTCCAAATAATAATCTGAATCTCACTGGATCCTGGTCTCGACCAGGGGGATGCAACTAAATGCTATTGGCGGGCAACATAAATGCCGTGACGTCATGAAGCATCACTGCTGCCGCAGTGGCTAGCTGCCATTCTCTTGATAAAAAAAAGGCTGCAGCCAGTGCCGAGGGCTCGGTCATACCACCTGCCCTGTCGGTAAGAAAGTATGTTATTTTACCACCAGCATTTTTTTTACTGCTCTTTCCCAAAAAATCACTGGTTTACACGTATTGCTAGAATTAATAATCGATGTAAATGAAATGATCATATTTTACAGGCACTGGTGAGAACTTTCTCCCGATAAATAATGTTGCAACCTGATATCTTGTACGAGTACTGCAGAGGTTCTTACTCCGTTGTGTGTTTTCTGTTTCCAAACTGAGTTTAATATCACTTCGCTCAAAACCATATGAAGGGGAATGAGTTAAATGATATCAAACTCAGATCAAAAACAGAAAACACACAATGGAGTAAGAACCTCTGCAGTACTCGTACAAGATATCAGGTTGCAACATTATTTATCGGGAGAAAGTTCTCACCAGTGCCTGTAAAATAAGAACATTTCATTTACATCAATTCAACACCCCCTTACTGAAATGCAATGGATATTTGAACTATAACATTATAGAATACTTGTGTTTAGGAAAGCTGATGGTGGGTAAACTTGGAAGAAAATTCTGTTTCCATCAGAGATACTTGTATTCAACTTCATAATTTTGCTTACAACTTATACCTGAAAGCTGCACAGAACATAGCTTTTCAGTTACATTAATGTGTTATATATCATGTATAGGAAGTAATAATACTGAAGTTTCCATTTGTTATTAATTTCAGTAGTATAATGAAACTCGAGAATTTGGTACACTCTTGTTATCAAGATTAAGATTGCATTTAATAATATACGAAAAGCAATAAAATAATTGCAGAACTCTTACAAACTTTTTTTTTTTGGTTTGTTTCATTCTGGTCCGTCACACTAACAAAGCCAAAAATAATTCCGTCCAGCAAGCCACGAACAAACATGGACGATACTAAGAATCTCCTTCACAAGATAGACAGACGGCACAAGTTCAGCCCCCTCCAAGAAAGACGATAGGAGAAGTGACACGAACCTGCATGGTTTATAAAATTTTGACTTAAAGAACAAAGTTTTAAAAACTTAAAAATTTTAATACCAGGAAGGCTGCTGTGATTGTGAAAAGTTGAATATTGTGTATTCCAGGCATTGTGTGTGTGTATGTAATTTAGCACTCAGAACACCTACTGTGATAGTGGTTTCCGAATAAGT